AATGGTATTAGCTAGGTTTTCTTCTAGTTTTTTTATGGTTTAGGTTTTATGTTTAAGTCTTTAATCCATCTTGAGTTAATTTTTGTATAAGATGTAAGAAAGGGTCTGGTTTCAGTTTTCTGCATATGGCCAGCCAGTTTTCCCAGCACCATTTATTAAATAGGGAATCCTTTCCCAATTGCTGGTTTTTGTCAGGTTTTTCAAAGATCAGATGGTTGTAGACGTGTGGTGTTATTTCTGAGGCCTCTGGAAACCATCATTCTCAGCAAACTAACACAGGAACAGAAAACCAAACACCGCATGTTCTCACCCATAAGTGGGAATTGAACAATGAGATCACATGGACACAGGGAGGGGAACATCGCACTCCGGAGCCTGTCAGGGGGTCGTTGGGGGGCGGGCAAGGGGAGCGAGCAGCAAATCACCATGAAACATGTATACCTATGTGACAAACCTGCACATTCTGCACATGTATCCCAGAACTTAAAGTATAATCATAATAATAATAAAGAAAAGATTATCTTTCGACCCTTGATCTCCCACACTCCCTCATCCCCAACCGAAATGGAAAGTATTGAGCAATTACATGTTAATGGGGAAGAAACCAAGAAAATTTCAAGATACACGAGATAAACAACTCTTAGAATGAGTTTGCCAAGTATCCTGAAGGTATGAAATTCTAAGTACAACTGAAGTGATTAGACTTTGACTTTAGAAGAGATATTTAAGTTCTTTAAAAGAGTAAAAGATTTCTGTAGAGACATGCAAATTTGTATATTTCATCACAGGAAGTAGGAGGTCCTTAGCTCCTATTTCTCCATGAAAGAAGTTGAAAGATTATTTGTTGAAAGTTATGGGAGAAATGCTAGATTTGGTGTTTAGGGGATGTTGAATAATTCTACATGGTTAATAATATTGACTTAAATATTTGGTGAATGATTTCCAAAGAGCAGAACTTTGGAGTCTGCATTAACTACTTAATCCTTTTAGATCATTTTGAAGGTTAAAATGTGAAGCAAAATGACAATAGGGTATGTTACTTTTTTTGCCTTTTTGTAATTATTTTTCTTTTTCTACTATATATGAATAAGAAAATACTTTATGTTACACAATACTTTTGTTTCTTGGAGATCATCTTCAGTTTTTTTCCATTCCATGCTTATCTGAATATAGAATACACATTTATATGTGGTACTGATAATTTTCCAGAAGTGAATTATAGCAGATATTTCTGAGATCAAGGATATGGCAAATTGCCTGGTTTAAATTTTCATAAACACTGCAATAAAAACAGAGGATTTTTAAACAGTGATTTTGGAGTTATATTATGGTACAAACACAGAAAAAAGAGAAGGTTTACCAGAGAATAAACTAAACAAATATTAAATAAAAGGACAGGAACTTGGAAAATGCTTTCTAATGCTGAGTAATTCACCTCATAGAGTACTTTCTATTTCTGTCACTGTCAACTTAACGAATGTGATATATCAGTTGTGGATGACATTCATAATTCCACTAAATTAATCATTGTTAGCATCTATATGTCCACTGCTTTAAACTTCTCAGCTGCTAAATAGATTTTCATTACAAATCCATTAATCTAAACCTAAATTTGAAGAGGCAAGTAACAAAATTAAGGTTATTTTGTGTCCAAAGCATAATTTTAAAATGTTCAAAGTAATTGTTTTTTAAGGAGAAAGTATAGTTGTTTAATCAATCTGTTCATCAATTTTCCCTGCTATATTGTTTTAGTGGCTTTAGTTGTATAATATTTTATTACTTATTATTTTTATTTATTTTTTTACTCCTCCATGCCTAGAATATACAAATAACAGTGAGGAAGATAGAAGGTCTGGAGTAGAATGAGGACCAGGAGTAGGAGATGAGGGCTGAGGAGTTATCAGATCATGTGGATAATGACTTTGATTTATATAGTAAGTTGATTGAAAAGCTATTGAAGAAAATTGAGCAGGAGAGTTTCATGATCTGAATTGCTTTTTAAAAAGCTTTATTTGGTTGCTATCTTGAGAAAGGAAGTATGAGGCTACATGCAGAAGCAGAAAGAATGGAGGCTATTAAAATAACTGAAGTAAGAGATCGTGGTGGTTTTTGATCAGAATAATGGTGGAAATGGAGAGAAGTAACTGGATTTATTATGTTTTGTGAAGGGTAAGCTGATTTAGTTAGTTTAGTTTGGATGTGGCATAGAGAAATAAAGAACTTAACATATTCAATAATTTTGGGAAGGATGGTATCGATATTTACTGAGGTGACAAAGACTGACAGAGAAACAGTTTTAAGGGAGAACTTCTGAATTTGGCTTTCCAGTGTGTTAAGTGTGGGATGCCCTTTAGAGGTGTTGAGTAGGAAGCTGGACATGTGCATTCAAAGTTCAATGGAAAACTATAGGCTGGAGACAGACACTTAAAATTTGCCAGCTTTGCAATTAGTACAAATGAAGTAGGTACACGGGAACCATCCAATGGAGTAGATCAGAAACACAGCAGGCAGCAGGACCAAATTTCAGTGCACTCCAGCATTGAACTTTACTTCCCAAATAAATTTTTTTTCTTGACCTATTTAATAAATTTCCTAGAGGACTATATTTTATTATTTAAATTTTTGAATTTGCTGTGTCCTTAATTTATGAGTGTAATATATTCTTATTTTTTTCTTGAAGATAGTGATGACAGTAGTTTTTTAAAACTAGTATCCTCTTTTATATCTTACATTGGTTCCAGTTACTTCTCTCCATTTCCACCATTATTCTGATCAAAAACCACCATGATCTCTTCCTTCAGTTATTTTAAGAGCCTCTGTCCTTCGCCTTCTCCATGTGGCCTCCCTTTTCTTCCATTTTTTTCTTTCTTCTATAGACATTCTGTTTCTTAATCGTAATCTTGACTATTCCTGTTTTTCTTGTTTTGTTTTGTTTCGTTTTGTTTTATCCCACTCTTATGTTCTTCACATGCCCAGAGATCTTTGATTTTTCCACTCACAATGATGAATGATGTGGATTTATTTGAGGTATTTGATGTGGGTTTCCTTTGCTGTTGTTTATAAAAATTTGCTTTCCTGCCTCCTCTCTCTTTTGAGTGGTACAGTTCATTGAGAGTTCTGTTGGCAATTGAAAGGTTTATTGATGGAATTAATTCCCTGTGGTTTAATGAAGAGATTTCAGAAGTTAAACGGGGAGCATTCAATTACACAAATGAATTCGATATTCTTTTGGTAAACCTAAACCAAAACTGGTTGCTTTTATTTTACTTCTACTATCCTCTGTTTTATTTAGCAAAGTAATTCATATTCTTCTGGCTAGGGATTAATGCCACATTGTCTATTTAACTACCATGATAGTGAGCTGGACTTGCCTACTCAGACTTTCAAAGAACTCTGTGGTATCTTCTCTTGTCCTCTTCCTTGCCTTCTGTGTGCTCTCTTTATGTTACCAACTCTGAACATGGAGTCTCTCTGTAGTGTGTTGGGAAATCAGCTTCTACCATTATTGTAGTTGATTTCTAGTATACTTAGACTATGACATTTTCTGCTGTTTCCTTTACTATCTCTTCCTATCAGTTTATTGCCTTTGAGACAATTATTTCAGTGGCCTTTAGGTCTATAATTATAGATGCAATAATGGTTTAAAACTCAGGTAATGCATTTGGCAAGTACTTTCTTAAAATTTGCTTCCTCCAGTTATTATCTTTGTGAATTTAGGAAAGTTACTTAAGTCTCTTAAAAATATGGTTCACCTCGAGGCGGAAAGATCACGAGGTCAGGAGATTGAGACCATACTGGCTAACACGGTGAAACCCCATTTCTACTAAAAATACAAAAAATTAGCCGAGTGTGGTGGTGGGTGCCTGTAGTCCCAGCTACTCGGGAGGCTGAAGCAGGAGAATGGCATGAACCCGGGAGGTGGAGCTTGCAGTGAGCCGAGTTCACTGTTCTCCAGCCTGGGCAACAGAGCGGGATTCTGTCTCCAAAAAAAAAAAATATATATATATATATATATATATATATATGTGTATATATATATATGTATGTATATATAGGGTTCACTTTTCTCTAGTGGAGGGATAATAATAATAATGCCTAACATATAGGATTACTGTTAGCATTAACTAAGGCAATATATATAAAGTTCAGTTCTTGGGGACTAGCACATGCTTAATATTACTATTATTAATAACAACATTATCAGTACTTTTTATTTTTAAACAGATAGTGTAACATTGGCTTTTGTATTTTAATTTGTTATAAAATTACACACATATTATGTAATATGGATGATGGAAACATTTACCTACATAGGTTAAAATATATGTCAATATAACGAAAACAGCATATATGTGTGCAACTACATATTTTATATATTTATCAAATTTCATGGTTCTGCTGAAAATTTTTAATTTTAAGAACGATTGTGGGAAAATAATCATTGTTTGCATTTGTAGGACTTTTCTCACCTTTTATTTTTTCTGCAGTCATTTTCTATGGAAATTTATTGACAGCTTTTACAGATGTTTTTCATATATTTTATCAGCCCAAGCAGTATGTATATACCTTTTTTTCCATTGCCCAAGTTTGTCTCCGTTAAAATTAATATACTATTAAATAGACATAAAAAAGATTACAAAGAATACTGAGGTACTAATATTCAGGATGAAAAGATAAGGGTTAATTGGTAAGCTTAGAAACCAGCTGGTCAATTGTTTCAGAGTTTGTGGAGGTAACTGAGTTCTGCCTAGTTTTCAACCGATGAATTGGAATTTACAGAGATTTGCTTATTTTTTTTTTTTAGAGGTTAGCATTTTTGAACTACAAGTATAACAATAAATGGTTCAACCACAATCATTACATCAACAGCAACAAGCCTGCCAGAATCCACATAGGAAAAAAGCAAAACAACACTAAAGCTAAATGAAAGACTAATGTGGATTATCCTGTAACCAACCTTTATAGCATCCTGTGATTATAATTTCAACTTCCTTTTTCAGTTTGACATTTGTCTTGTTCAACATAATGATGAAATGGAAGAACTGTCAGGCAATGTAAAGGAAGAATCCAAATCTCAAAACAGCAAAGACAGAGTGATTTGTGAGTTAAGAGCAGAGGTAAGACATTGGGTAAAGAGTGCCATATATATTGAAACATAACTGACTGTTGTTAAATGCCATACTATGTTAAGTAGGGTAATGGATGTGCCTTTGGTTACTTTATGAAAGTGAATGCTGCTGGTAATGTAGTTAGCTTATATGTGATTTAAAAGGCTGTGGAATGACATTGGCCCATAACTAGATCTGAGTTATTTGAATATTATTTAAAGATGAAATGTTTAACTATAAAACTATCTGGTAGCCAATACAAGTCTTACTGTGCATAAATATTTTTTAAAAGTTCAACCAGCTATGTTCATTTACTTTCAGAATCAATGACATACAAGATATGTGTCATGCAATTTCTGGTGGAATTAACATTGCTGTTGGCAGCTAACAACAGTGAGAGATAAAATAAATTCACTTTTGTTGTAGTTATTTCATTTCTTAGATACACCACCTAAGAAACATTTATTTTTCCACTCCTGCCACCACCAACAATAAATGAATTTTCACAAATGTGTAAACTCTGAGTGTTTTTTACTGTTCTGTAGGTAAAAGCAGAATTATTGCGTTTATAGAAAGGAGAAGGGAGTGAGTTATTTGTACTTCATAGAAAATAGCATGATGGCATTAAAAATGGAAAATCACAAATTATTTGTCTTGAAACAGATAATTCTGGGAAAATAGCTTGGAAACAAATGCGTAAGAGCAATTTACAGACTGAAATGAATTTAATGCAACTGTAGGCTGGTAGAAAACTGATTTGTATTAGGTTTTCTTCCTTATATAACTCTTCAAATTCTGAACCGACACCAGAGTATATTTACATCAGATGAATATAGTGCAATGGGAAATATACAGATTTTGGAGCTAGAAATGGGTCCATTACCTCCTGATTACTTTATTCTGGTCAATGCTGTAAGCATCTCTGTGTGTCAGTCTCCAGATTAAAATAATAGTAATAATAATATTAATAATAGTCATGAAACAGGATTTTGGAAAATGTATGTACTGCAAGAAAACAGTTTTCTGAGACAGAGTGCTCTAGTATTGAAACTTATAGCTAAGCTGCTTAGGAGAATTATATACTCCCTGTGTTCTTCCTCATTACATCAATGCCATCCCATGACAGCTCTTCTATGAGTCCTAAAAGTGGTGTTGGGGTGAGATGGCATATATCAAGAGGTCCATTATGAGAAAGGCTGAACTGTTGAATACAAATCTTCGATAAGTCAAAGAGAAAAATTGGTGGCGTTCGTAACTTTTGTTTTCTAAGAGGAAACAAATGATCAGGATAGATACCTCTTTTTCTTGACCCTCAGCTCTGAGAATCATCTTTCATTAAACATTGTACAACATGTTGTATAAAAGCTTATTTAATAGTTAACGGCAAAAAAGGAGGAAGGCACATCTAGATATTTATTATAACTCTCCTCAAAAGCCAAGAATATTATATATACACTTTTTTTTAAGACAAGTTTTAGGTTCACAGCAAAATTGAGCAGAAAGTAGACAGTTTGCACATACTTCCCCTTTCCCCCAGAGACTCCTCCACAACCAACATCCTTCATCAGTGCTGCATGTTTGTTTGTTATAACTGAGAAACAAACTGAGACATTATCAACCACAGTGATAGTTTACATTAAGGTTCACTCTGTGTTGTACATTCTATGGCTTTTGACAAATGCATAATAGCATATATCTACCATGTTAGTATCATGCAGATGCTAAACAAATATTGTATAGAAATATGTTCTTTTGCAACTTGTTTATATAAATGTGTCACAACTACGTATGTTTACATAAAAGTACTATAATTTAATTAAATTTAATAACTTATTTAAAAAATTAGTTTATTATTTTTAGATATATAATCAGCACTACGGTGAGTATGCATATGTATATAAATCACTGGATATTTAAAAATGGCTTATGATATATTCCTAGAAAATAGTGTGGCTTGGTCATTGGAATATTTATTTTTTAAATCTTCTTTTACACATTTCCAAGTGTTCTATTAGAAAAATTGTATCAATTTACATTCTCACTAAGTAAGACTAAAATCTCTGAATATTATGTGTAAAGCAAATATTGAAAAAGACTCAAAGTTGGAGAGAAGAGGTATATCACCCAGGGGACCTGAGAATTGAGAAATGGCATGCTGTTGAGTTTTCTGGGTTTTTGTCACATATATTCCAAAATTAGAACTGAAGAAGCCAGAAATCTGGAAACACCAATAGGTACAGATAAACACACAAAAATACCTAAAATGAAACACAACCTAAGTCTGCTTGCTCTAGCCAACGTACTAAGGAAGAGTCAATGTAGCAAGACGAAAACTTTTAGGACAATAATGCTTGAATCCAGCCCAAATCACAGAACACTGTGGCCTCACCCCATGCCTGTTAGCTAAGGCCAGCTGTAGAACCTGGACTTCTACATACATCTGGAAGTAACAAGACAATGCTATCCTTTCACTCTCAATTGTGGTTTCATAAGAACCCACCCAAAACACAATGTTAGATAAAATCCAAATCTCATGACATATTTCACAAAGTATCCAGGATACAATTGGATATTACTCATCATACCTAGAACCACAATAGTTTGAAGTGAATGAAAGAAAACAATTGATAGATGCCAACACTGAAATGATAAAGATGTGTTAATTATTTGGGAAGGATCTTAGAGAGGGCATCATTAAAATACTTTAGTGAGCAATTGTGCATATGCATGAAACAAATAAAAAATAGGAATTTTCATTAAAGAAATAGAAGGTCTCAGCAATTTAAAAAATGCAAAGAAGGAACAAATGGAAAAATTAAAACTGAAAAATGAACTGAATTTAAAAAAACAACTTCTGAATGCAGAAGACAGAGGAAAGAGTCAGTGAACTTGAAGATAAATGAATGGAAATTATCCTATCTGAATGAGATAAAGAAAATAGGCTGAATTTTAAAAGTAAAGTCTCAGAGACCTGTGGGGTGATAAAAAAAATTACATTCATGTAATTTGAGGCCAGTGTGAGAGGAAAAATAGTGTAGGACTGACAGTACTAAAAAATAGATGAAAACTTCCCAACTTTCAAATGAAAGGGTCAAATCTAGAGTCAAGAATTTTAGTGAATCCCAGACAGCATAAACCCGAAAAGGCTGATATTAAGACACATCATAGTCAAACTTATGGAAAATAAGAAAAAATAATCTTAACAGCACCTAAAAGGTAAATTACAGTATATACACAGGGGAAAAAATCCAAATAACAGGGCTTGTCACATCAGAAACTCTGGAAGTCAGAAAGAAGTGACATACAATTATTTAGGTTCTAAAAGAGCTGTCAACTCAAAATACTATATCCAGTGAAAATATCTTTCAGATCATTCTCTGATGAGGAAAACTAAGATAAATTGTCTTTGGTAAATAAGCATATGAAAAGGTGTTCAACATATTAGTCATCAGGAAAATGGAAATTAAAACCACGATGGGACAAAACTATACACCTATCAGAATGGCTAAAATCAAAATAGCGACAATACTAAATGGTGGTAATAGCACAGCTATTGAATTACTCACCTATTGCTAGAGGGAATGTAAAATGATACAATCACATTGGAAAATAGTTTGACAGTCTTCAAAATTGCAGCTACCATATGATCAAGCAATTGGACTCCTAGGTATTTACTTCATAAAAATAGAAGCTTATATTCACACAAAACTTATAGGTAAATCTTGAGTATTTTATACGTAAATGCCAAAACTTAGAAACAACACAGGTGATCTTCATGGGGTGAATAATTAAACAAGCAATTACATCCATACTTTGAACTACTTCTCAGCAACAAAACAGAATGAACTCTTGATACATGCAACCATCTGGGTGAATCTCTTGAAGTATTGTGAGTGAAAAATATCCTGAAAGACTACAGAGTCCATGATTATGTATATATATGATTTATTTATATATACATGATTTATTTGTATATATGATTACATATAATCATATATATATTCAGCATTTAGAAATGAAGAACCTATTAATGGTTTTCAGGAATACAGGAGTGAAGGGAGTGGGTGCTGTGGCTAAAAAACAGCCACATGATGCATCCTTGTGGTGATGGAAGCATTCTGCATTTCACTGTGTCAAATTCTTTGCATAATTGTCAATGTCTGACTTTGGTATTGTACTAATGTACTGCTGTTTAACAGCCTATCTAAAGGATCCATTCATTCATAACTGTAAAGTACTAAAAATTGTACACAATAGTAGGCACTCAATCAATACTAGGATAAGAACTTAGATCCAGGTCTCTTGGGTCCCAAAGATAAATTTCATATGGCTTTTACCATTGGAGGGCTCAGGGTAAAAGGCACATGGAATTTATCTTTTCTTTCAACTGCCTATGAATCGACAGCCAAAAATGAAAATTTAATTCAAACATCCTAATTTTTTTTGAAATTTTTAAGTAGTGATTATATAAGCAACCCTATTTATTTTGCTTATGCAAGATAAAACATAAGTATTTTGTTACACAATTTTTTTCACACCCAGGAAGATTGTATTATCTATGGGGGCTTAGAAAGGTTCTTTCTCCATGTGAAAGTCAATTAGATTCTGTCTGAATAGGTAAAATGCAGTAATAGTGAAGTAAAAAACGAAACCAAATGACAACAAAAATAAGTTCATATGTTCATTCATTATACAACCCAATTATTTACTCCACAAATATTAATCAACAATCTCCCATGTTAAGCACTAAAGATTCTACAAAGTGATGTATTGATGGCCACAGACACAAACAATCCAAGTCAATTAAATGCAATATGTTATATAGCCTTACAGGTGAAGCACAGTTATTTGTGTGGGGATAAAGAGGAGATATAGTGAATGAGATGGGTAAGGTGAAGAGCAGTTAGCCAGGCAAAGTGAAGAGCCAGGTAGAAAGGTAAGAACAAGGCTGGGCGTGGTGGCTCACACCTGTAATCCCAGCATTTTGGGAGGGCAAGGTGGGTGGATTC